TTAAAACTTACTATAAAGTTACAATAATCAGGACAGTGTGATATTGGTGATATAGTAGACAAATAGATCAATGGAACAGAATGGAGCCCCAAAATAGACCCACACAATCATAATAAACTGATCTTTGACAAAGGAACAAAGGTAATTCAAAAAGAACAGTCTTTTCAGCAAATGGTGCTGGAACAACAGGGCATCCACATACTTAAAAAATCTATTTCAGGTAGATGATAGCGAAAAAAATAATAAATGAATGAATCTAAACACTAACCTTACACCTCTCCCAAAAATTATCTCAAAATAGATTACAAACTTAAATGTAAAACACAAAATTATAAAACTTCTAGTAGGTAACAGGAGAAAATCTAGATAAACTTGGGTTTAACAATGACTCCTTAGGTAAAACACCAAAAGCATAATACATGACAGAAAAAATTGATAAATCAGACTTTATCAATAAAAAAACTCTGTTCTGTGAAAGACACTGTTAAGAGAGTGAAAAGACAAGCCACAGAAGAAAAATTTTGCAGAATATTTGCAAAACACTTATCTGATGAAGGACTTGTATCCTTAAAACTCAACAATTAGAAAACAAACAACTCAGTTTAAAAAAGTAACATCAAGAAACCACAACACACCTTACTAGAATGGCTAAAATCCAAAAAAGCAACAATACTCAGAGTTGACGAGGATGTGGAGAACAGGAACTCCCAGTCATTGCTGATAGGAATGCAAAATGGTTCTGACATTTTAGAACACAGTTTGACAGTTTCTGGAAAAAAAACTAACCTTAAATACAGCCATCCCACTCCTTGGTATTTACCCAAATAAATTGAAAACTTTATGTCCACACAAAAAGCCTGCACATGAATATTTATAGCAGCTTTACTCACAACTGCCAAAGACTGGAAACAACCAAAATGTCCTTCAAAAGGTGAACAGATAAACAAATTGTGACACATCCATACAATGGTCTATTATTCAATGACAAAAAGAAATGAGCTATCAAGCCACAAAAAACACGGAACCTTAAATGTATGTTGATTAGTGAAAGAAGCCAGTCCAAAAAGGCTGTGTACTGTATGCTTCCACTTATATGACATTCTGGAGAAGGCAAAATTATGGAGAGAGTAAAAAGACCAACAGTTGCCAGGGGTTTGCGGCAAGACCAGGAGGGATAAATATGTGGAGGAAAGGGGATTTTGTGGCCAGTGAAACTATTTTCTATTATACTGTCATGGTGGATACAGGACATTATGTATTTGGCAAAACCCATAGGACTGTACAACACAAAGAGTGAATCCTAATGTATGCTATGGAATTTGGTTAATAATAATACTAGTTCATCAGTTGTAATAAACATACCACATAAATGCGAGATGTTAATAAGTGAAACTGTACTATCTGCTCGATTTTCTGTAAACCTAAAACTGCTCTAAAATGTAAAGTCCATTAACTTTTAAAAATCTTGCTAACATCCAAACAAAATATTGTTTTCTTGTTTTGTTTTGTTTTGTTTTTTGTCCTTTTTGAGACCAGCCGCACCGCGCTCAGCCAGTGAGCGCTGTGAGCGCACCGGTCATCCCTATATAGGTTCCGAACCCGCGGCAGGAGCGCTGCTGTGCTCCCAGCACCACACTCTCCCGAGTGCACCACGGGCTCGGCCCAAACAAAATATTGTTAACTATCCTGAGTGTATTTTTAGAAACTGAATGATAACTCCACATATGTAATCTTTTCAACAGTGCAAGTTACTGAGAAAAACACAACTTCCCCATATTTCTATTATTATAAAACAATGTTTCTAACAGTGTTCATTCCTATCTCATAAAAGTTAAAGCAAATCAAGTAAAAAACAAAAACAAAAAATGCCTTTTCTCTCTTCCCATATGGAAGTCCTTGGCTTTTGCCATATCATGAAATTAATGATAAGTTTTATCTTCACTAATAAATCACAGGCAATGAAGGAAGTCACTTTTGTCTATTTCAAATGGAAAATACCACAAAATTCCAAAGTTCAACTGAAGGCAATTGAAATAATTAATATCTCAATATTTATTATATTATCATATTTTTCTGAACAGTTTGGAAGGATATCCTAATTCATGGGTATTTTTTTTAGAAACCACACATATTTAACAGAAAAACATACTCTTAAAAAGATTTTTTTTTTTTTTACTAGAGCTCTTCACTGGATACATTCCTTGCCACTCTTGCTGGCTTTAATACACAAAGAGTATGCCAGGACCTAGGGGCTAATGATGAACCAAACCAGGTGAAAAGAATTTTGCAAGTCTGCCTTAAGAGTACAATTTAGGGCCGGCCCGGTGGCACACTGCTACAGTGCGCCGCTTGGGAGCGCAGTGGCGCTCCCGCCGAGGGTTCGGATCCCACATACAGACCGGTTCCCGCTCACTGGCTGAGCGAGGTGTGGGAGCAACACCGAGGGTTGCGATCCCGTTGCCAGTTCTGGTCCGGTATGGGCGCGACACTGAGGGTTGCGATCCATTGCCAGACACGAAAAAAGACAAAAAGGAAAAAAAAAAAGAGTACAATTTAATGGGAGCTTGCAGGTGGTTTAGAAAATCAAAAGCAAACAAAACAAAACAAAAATCCAGGGCAAGCAGTTGGTTTCTTGAGTTCATTCTTAAGCACCCCATATTGGCACACTGGAATCAACATTCTGATCTTCACCTATAAAGAGCAGACTGCTGCAAAGCAATAGAGTGATTCAAGCTGATTTTCTGATAAGGTGACGGTCTTGTGCTGATTCAACGTTGCTGCTATTCAGTATCTGGTGACTAAGGAGTTTACTCCAGCAGAGAATAATGCTAACTAGTCCACATGGGGATTGAACACATGACCCTGGCCTAATTAGCACACTGCTAATCAACCACCAAAATAGCTACCATTCCATTTATTTATAGACCACCTGATATATGCCAGGCATTGGGCTAAATGTTTCTTGTACAGTATCTCTTAAACTTCACAAAAAGCTCTCAAAGTAGATACTATACCTATTTTAGGATGTGGAAACTACAAATCAGAATGGTTAAGAAAGTAAAACTGTAAAAACAGCTCTGGTCTGAGGGCTTACAGCTGGTGAATGAAAGATCCAGGGCTCAAATGCCAATTTGTCTGTCTCGAAAGGCTTGCTTCCTTGTATATAAGACTCTACTACCAATCAACTCTAAATAAATAAAAAAGTGTACGGTAGAATAAAAGAGAAAGATGTGTTGATTTTGATCTGAAAACAGTATTTTAAAACTCTGAAAATCTACTTTACAAATAATTTAAAGTTATCCTGATAATACAAACAAAAGACAGTTGTGTCTACCATTACTGTGAACATCTTTATTCACAAAGTACTTCAGACCCATTCACAACTTAAGAAGTTGACCAATTTTTACTAAAGCAGAAAAGTATTCCTGAAAAAGAAGGAAAATAAGAACACATACTAATGTCTTAAAAGAAATTTAAATACTACATTGTAGTTAATAATTATCAATCAAATTCTTCCTATTCAACTAAAAAAAAGAAAATAATGCCTGCTGTTATCTGTTAGACTAAAACTATGGTACATATAAAATAAAAACTATTGGTGAACTGGAAAACAACTTGTGATTTATAGAATTATTAAATAATAAAATAATATGTTTTTAAAATTAGTGTGGGCATGCCAATAACATTTAGATTTTTTTTTAAATGTCATGTTATATTAAACATTTTCTATGTCTAGAATTAGACATGATCATTAAATGTGAAGATGTGCAAAAGAGAACTGTATCAGGAAGTGCTGGATTAAATATGAGGCAAAGCAACCTCTTCTAGACCACAAGAAAAGATCACTTAAGTTAAACATTTATTGAGAACCACCTACTAGGAATTAAGTTCTCATCTCTGTGCTAGTTGCTGGGAATGCAAAGATACTAAAATCAGCTCAGAAAACTTACAATACAGTAGGATAAACAGATTTGTAGGAAGCTATAATTCAAGGCAGACAACCAAAAACTACCAATGTAAAAGTGCCTAGTGAAGTAGGACAAGTTCTGGTCCAACTAGAGGGAGCAGAAAAGCTGCCATAAGAAGTAGCAGTTCAGCCAGGCCCTGATAATGAGAAGGATTTCTCTGGGCTAAGGAAGGAATGGTGGAGTGGGCTGGGGAGGGGGCCATACATTCCAGATTAAGGGACGGCATAAGCAAAGTGGCCAGGAATAATAGTAGTACTTAATGTGTTAGAGAACTACAGCAGGAAATCAAGGAATTACAGTTTACTTGGTAGAAGACGGAAAGCCAAAGCCAAGTTTTTGAAAAAAAGGTTACTTGGGTAGTAGCAACATATCCCTATCCTCGACCTCTGAGCAAGGGCTCTCAGTTGAATTGCCTGGACTGGTATACTGGCTCTACTACTTATATAGCTGTGGACTTTGGACTAGTTGCTTAATATCTCTTTACTTTAGTCTCCTAGTTTCTTAATGGAAGTTTAATAGTACAAATTTCTTAAGAAGTGTCTGAAGAAATAAGTGAGATAATATATACCAAGTGCCTAAAACACCAACTAGCACAAGCTTTCAATAAACATCAGTTATAAATACCCATATTACCTACCTGAGCCGAGCACTGCAGAACTGAGACAATAAAAGTAGTTCCAAGAGAAAGAAGTCCCAGGAACTACAGACTGTGGATCTGCTAAGATTAAAAAAGGGGCAACTGCAAAATTATCAGAGATCTATATACATAAAACAGTAGTTTGGATAAACCCTATAATCTTCTTATAGTTCTGAGTTTAGAAAGTTCATTTTTAATTGCATCAGTTCATTAATGTCTCAAATGATCATTTCTCAAGGCCGTTCTAAAAAAGAACTCATATGGGATAAATTACCTTTTCACCTCTCACAATGTCTAAAATATTATAATTTGACAATCACACATACCAAATTTAAGTGAAACCCTAGGCATTTTTGTTAAACTGTATGCCAGCAAAATAACACAAAAGCAAACACCTGTGATGTATGGGTCTTTGCAAGAGGAGAAGTGCATGCTTCTTGAAATTGATCTTCACTAATTCCAATTTCTTTGAGGTAACTTTCTAACAGCTTTTCAACCTAAAGAGAGAAAGTTTAACTTTTAAAATTTACATAGAAAAAATTCTAATTGAAGTTTGTATATTGAGTAGAAAAGTATAATCAAGTGCTTTTTTCAAATATTAATCTATGTAATATTATGTTACATGGCAACGATATTGTGTTTTACCAAAAACAAATGACAAAAAGTTAATTTTTTTGCAGAGAATCACATGAAATTTTATTTCCTCTACTAGAAATAATTGAACTCAGGATTATGAAGTTCAATGTGGCACAATTCTTCTGCTTCCCAGGAGCATTTTAAAAAATCACGAGACAGGGCCGGCCCGGTGGCGCACTGCTACAGTGCGCCGCTTGGGAGCGCGGTGGCGCTCCCGCCAAGGGTTCGGATCCCACATACAGACCGGTTCCCGCTCACTGGCTGAGCAAGTTGCGGGCGCAGCACTGAGGGTTGCGATCCCGTTGCCGGTCCCGGTCTGGTACGGGCGCGATACTGAGGGTTGCGATCCGTTGCCGGACACGAAAAAAGACAAAAAGGAAAAAATAAATAAATAAATAAATAATAAAAAATCACGAGACAACCATGATTAAATAAATAACACTTCCCTGAATGCATTAGCAGAGTAACAATAAAATTTAAAGACTACTTGCAAGATCCCATAAACAGCTGTCATAAAACCAGTCCATAGATCTAAAGTAGAAGAGATAAGAAGTCATAAGAATGAGAAGCTCACAGAACCCACAGTGCCTGACGTAACTGGTAGTATTATTAGGGCAGACTGGATTTTTGTAAAATTATAGAATTTTAATAAAAAAGTCCATTTTTCAAATTTAGAAAAGCTACAAGTAATATTCCTAATTACCTTTAAATTACCTTTAAAAATCAGTGGAAAAAATAATACTCACTAGTTCTTTGTATTCCTGATGAATCTCTGTATAGGTCAATTTGCTTTCTTCTTCATCATCAAAAACTAGATTTAAAAGAAAAATACTGCACAGCATGAAAAAACAAATCATTTCATTAATGCAAATATAAAAATCTACTCCTTACAAACAGAACTATCATTATTATAACCTAACTCTTCAGCTTTGAATTCTTGGGGTTTTTTCCTTAAAATATATATATAAATAAATATATATAGTGTTAATCATAAACAAGTTTTTTCTCCTACTTAAGAAAATATTTAAGACAAATACTATCTCATGTTTAAGACAAACACTAATTTGCCACTTTTAAATCATTAATATAAGGCAACAATTTCTTTGTAAACTTTGAATATTATTGTTAATAGTTTTTAAACATTAAATTGTTTTACAGAAGACTCCAGATTATTTTAATGTCCTGGAACTTTGCTGTTGCAAATTTTATTGAAAGTGACTAGGCCATTTTTGTTATTATGGAGCATCAATGAACTTAAAATAAATAAAACCCAAATAAACATCTACTGAAATGATCAAACATGTGAAACAATGTAGATTAGAAAGACATATAATCCCTCAATAAACTGCAATCTAATTAGGGAAACAGGACAAACTCATGAATTGTAAACAATAGTTTTTTTATTTTTCCAGAATGATCTTTTTTAAAAAAATTTATTTATTATTATTTTTTTACATTCTAAGATATTCTTGCAAAGCAGTTGAGAGGTGGAGAGGTGAAAGGGGGGACGGATAGGGTGGGAGAAGGTGGGGGAAGTAGGGGGCATAGTCGAGGCCCATGGCACCCCCCTCATTCCAACAGGGGAGACCAGGGGGCTTCTGGTGGCAGCTTGGTCGTCACTGGGCTGGATGCGGACATCAGGGGCATATGGCTGAAGCCATCAACCCCTCAATGTCCCAGCTTGGGAGCCTGAGGCACTTCCAGTGGCAGCTCAGGGGTCGTCACTGGGCTGGGTGTGGACATCAAGGTGTCATGGCTGAGATCCTCAGTCCCCCACTGCCTCAGTTAGAGAGCCTGAGGTGTTTCCAACAGTGGTTTGGTGGTTGTTGCTGGGCTGGGTGGGGATGTCAGGGGTGTGTGGCTAAGGCCCTCAGCCCCCCACTGCCTCCGCTCAGGAGCCTGGGGTGCTTCCTGTGGCAGCTCAGTGGTCATCCCTGGGCTGGGTGCAGACAGCAGGGGAGCGTAACTGAGGCCTTCAGACTCCCACTGCCCCAGCTCGGGAGCCTGAGGTGCTTCCAGCAGCAGCTTGGTGGTTGTCACTGGGCTGGTTGTGGTCGTTGGGGGTGTGTGGCTGAGGCCCACAGCCCTCTCCCCTACATGGGGCTTCCAGTCCTTCTAAGTTTTATAAGTGTTCTTTGGTGGTGTTAGGCCTTTACTGTTTAATATCAAAACTTTGATCTGTGGGTATTTTGTTTTTTCTTTCAGTTCTCTGTTGGTTTATTCACTGTTCCAGGCACTTAAACTCTGCACTGAAATTAATCTGTTGTCCTTTGGGACAATAAATGGCAGAACTTCCTAAGGGAAAATCAGCACTTGAGCCCTGTAGTTGAGCTAAATTGCTGTTTTGCTGCTGATTCTCTGGGGGAGGCTTCTTGTGCAGCTCAGGTTTTAACTGTTGACCTTGTATGTACTTCAGGGTCTTGTAAGTTCTGGTACACCTGGGTTGTGTGGAAATTCTGGTCTGGGCCTGTATCTTTTCAGCAAACTGCACCCCCTGCAGTTCTATATTCCTGACCAGCCTCTACTGAGTGGTCCTTTGTTGACTGGAGGGCAGATCCATGCTATACTCCAATGTTCCCCCAGTGGGCCCATCTCCCCCACCAAATGTGGAGCCAGGGGGAAGTCAAACCCAGCCATGACTAGGCAAGCTGCCATCACCACCCCAAGACCCCGCCAGGACCCTGAAATGTTGAGCTGGGGGAAGCCAAACCCAGCTGCAACTAGGTAAAGAGCACACCAAAAATACCATTTTCAAAAGAGTAGCCCTCCATAGTCACTACAACTGCCATGGCTACCACAAAAGCGGCTAGTCTCTATAGCAGCAGTCACCTCCACTGTGCAGATGGCACACCAGGTTCTCAACTTCATTGACATAAGGAGAGGCATAGCAGAGACCAAAAAAAAAAAAATGAGGTCATCTCTCTCCACAAAGCACACTCCGGAGTAATAGAAGCAGCATCTGATTTATGATAATAGGAGAGGCCTTAATCACACCTGTCTCAGTACTGCACAGATCATCTAGGCAACAAAGCAACAGAGGAACAGTTAATCTATCAGATAGAGAGAACAAATCTATGGTTACTAGAGGGGGGAAGTGGAGAGGAAAGGGAGGCAGGGAAAAGTGGAAGAAGGGAGGGGGAGGAGGAAAGGGGAAAGATTGGATAAGGGGCATAAAGAATAAATATGACTAACAATGAAAATTAAAAATTAAAAAGAAAAAATTAAATAGAATAAATTCTATTAAAATACAAATAAATAAATAAATAGATAGATAGATAGATAGATAAAAATAAAATCTGCTATCCTAAAAAGAAATAAGAAATTAAAAAATAATATATTACCTGAGATAGATGCAATATAAACAGTTACTTAAAGTGTCACCAGCACGTTATTTATATTTCTCCTGGCATCTGCTCTACCTAACACCGCACATACATGCAGCGTAGCAGGTATTGAAGCTGTTTTCAGTGAATTCTGAAAACAAATCACTATAGTACATGATTATAAGCCTGAGGATTACTGCTTCTCTGTAAAATTACACAATCAGGGATGTCATTACTGAGATGCTGCCACTTTTGACATTTGGGAATAAAAAGATGAACAATGCTTTAAATTTTTTCCATTTCAGTATTTAGTCTCAGTGAGGTAAATAATATCAAAAAATGACATAATTTCTTCTTTCTTCTTAAAGAGGTCAGAATTCCACATGCCTTATCAGTCTCATAATAGCATTATAAATTCTTAAAAGGAGTACACATAAGTTACTTTGTTTTTGAACTTTCTAAAAAAATAACTGTAAAAATAACACTTAGTAACTACCACTTGAATTTTCATTGTGGCAATGAGAACGTAATGAAAAGATGCAGTGGTCAAACTAAATTTCATCTTTACCAGATTCATAGGACCTTAGGATTGAAAGAAATCTCAAAAGCTTATCAAGGATAACCAACCATGTGATACTTGAATCCCCTTTAACATCTCCATTAAGTCACTATCAGATCCATTCAAACACTTCTAGTGCCTGGAGAACTCATTACCTTTTTGACACAAGCTAACTCATCTTGGATACATTCTGCATGAAGCACTTCCTTCACTGAAATTTGTTTCCCTGAACCCTGTACCCACTGACCCTAGCTCCATCCCACTAAACATCACAAAACAAGTCTAAAGCCCTCCAACATAAAACAGACTTTCAAATGACTGATGGATATTACTACCCTCAAAGTCTTGACCGGCTAAACAACCACAATAACGGTTGTACACTCATTCGTGTGACATGATTTCTAGTTCTTTTTCCGTGAATGGGCTCCAATCTGTCCCCAAGAATTAAATACAGAACTCCAAGCGTGAAGTAATCAGAACCCGAAGGTGCTGTCCTTCACAAGCAATATTATGCCACGTATGTATGCCTCATTTGATAGAAGGTACCCACCGCCCCCATTTCTGAGAGCCACAGAACTCGGCAGGGGAACACAGGCCACCGAAATCACCGGCTCTGGGCATGCTGGAGTCATCACATGCTCTCCTTTGCAGTCTACTGTTGGTCTGGGGTGAATCATTTCTCAATTCCTAAAATGACTACATGGAGCGAAATGCTAGGGATGAGAAGGAACCCAGAGGCAAACTGCCGCTTCTCCTCCCAAGTCACTGGGAAAGATGAAGAAGCCCACCAAACAATCCACCTGCCCAGGGCAGAAACGTGCATGATAGGGTTAAAGACCGAAAACAAAACTGAGGTCTAACGTTTCTCGGACTTGCCCGTGGGCCCGAGGGAACGGGAGTCTCGGTCCCCATTTTCAAGTCTGCGAAGGAAATCACCGGCGGAGTGAAAGCAACTCCTCCTAAGTAACTAGCTCTACACCCGGCCGACAGAGGTGGAGGAGGAGGGAGACGAGAGACGGTTTGTGGCGACCAGCTCCCTGCAGACTACTGGCATGAGAGCGGCGAGAGATAACTGTCAGTTCGGACGCCGTTTTTTACCTTCACATTTGTGCTCCACAAAGTCCAAGATAGGGGTGGTCCAGTCCGGGCCTCGCAGAAACCCCGCGATGGTCTCCACCACCCACTCCACCTCGTCCTCTTCTTCCGCAGCCATCCCGCTCCTAGGCCAGACCTCGGGAACCTGCTAAGGCCTTTCGGCCACAGGGAGCCAAGAGGGAGTGAAGGAGGAATTGTCCCCGCACTCGCCCTGCCACTTGGAAGAAAGCTACGAACCAGTTAACGCAAAATGGTCGCTATGGCAACATGCTTAGCCGCCCCAGACTGCGGCCCGGAAGTGAAGCCAGCTCCCCTGGAGCCTGCGCAGCGCAGAAGGGGGAGGGGACTTTGAAGAACGTTTCCGATTGGCTGGAAAAGAACAGTAGCGGATCAAAAAATAGCCCTCCGCCCATTGGCCCGGAGTTGCTAAGGCTGAGAGTACAAGTGTAGGTATTGGCTAGAGATGCTAGAAGGCATCTGGGACTGCCCTCTTGCGAGAAGTGCGTGGAAGCCTCGGTTTCGGAGTGGCGCAGTGTGGTCCTCCAGTGCCCCGGCCTCTGACTGACAGGGCTTCGAAGTCTTCAGTTCACCGTTCTATCCTCAGCACCAACCACGTTCAGACTCTCTGGCCCACAAGCGTTTGTAATTTAGAGCCGAGCAAAGTAGCTTTGTAATACTGCTATATAGGCTCGGCAGTGGGTTTGCATCGTGTAGGTTGGGTCTAATCTCTCAAGGGTAGGTAGAGATAACTAGAACTAGGGACTTTTCAAGGGCAAAATCAAAGTTATGTTCATTTAAATAAATTCGTAATCAAATGTTATGTCAAATAACTCCAGCTCAACTTTTAGATTGGGGTCCATTGTGGGATGGGGTCTTTCTTCCAAGGTCACTGTCAAGGTGCTTGGAGTCCCAAAATATTTTCAAACAGTATTATATATATTTATATAAATGGGGTCATATGTACAGTTAATGAGACTTTTTTCACTTAATAAGTTTGTCGTCATCTTTTATATAAGAATATGAAACTGATTTCTTTACAGCTTCATAGTAGTTTATTGACCTAAAAAGAAAAAGACCAAATACATATAGCAAGGATTTATTGAGCCAATGTGATGATTGCGACCGGAGACACATAGTCAGGTCATCCTGAGAAATGTGTTCTGAAGCAGAGCTTAGCATTTTATAATCATAAGAAGGGAGAATGGTGAAAGAAGTTGTGAAAGACAGCACAACCTAATTACTTCATCAGGTTTCCTATTGGTTGTACATGACATATAGATTCAGGATTGTTACTAGGTTACATCCTACATGTAGGGATCTAGGGTAAAGCTAATAAGAAGCATTCTAGGTTGTTTTATGGCTTTTTGGTGCCATTAAGTCTGCTTCTAACTAAAAGTGGTCTTAAAACGTTTTCCAGGACAGATGGAGGTGATTACTGACTTATCCAGATCTCCCCAGGCACTATAATTTAGCTGACCTGGTCAGAGCAGATTCTAGTGGTTATCACTGTAAACCACCCTTTGGTCTATTCTTATTTTTTGTGTGTATATATACACACAATATCTTACTTGGATGCATAAATGCGATCATTAGTGTATAGGTTTTTGGGGTTTTTTTTATCTTTTTCTCCCTCCAAGGTGTGGGTGTGCCATCAATTATTCATCCATTTTTTGCTTCTACAAACTGCTGAAATAAGCATTTTTGTGTCTCTAAGAACTGTTGGTTTTATTTACGATTTCAAGGGATAAATTCTAGCAGAACTGCTAAATGATTGTATATATATTTTGTGTAAAACATTGTTTTGAAGTATGTATACATTGTGGAATGGCTAAATCAAGCTAATTAACTGTAGGGAAAGTGAAGGAAAATGGTCAGGGCCCCTCAGATGTTCAGAATCTTGCCCAGCATTTGATGGAAAATGCATGTGTGCCCAGGTGTTCCTTGGTTATTGTCTGATGTAGTTGCACATGTGCACCCAGGTGTCCTGGGTTATGGACTTAAGCATGAAGGACAAGTGGCTCTGATCCACAGTGCCCCGTCCCCCTGGAGGGGGCCACAGGGAGGCCACTACTGCTGCTGGAGGCTGTTGCTGTCACTGCCCCGGGGATACCACAAGAGGCCACCACCGCTGCTGCTACTGCTGCTGTAAGCTGCTACTGCTGAGGACTGAGTCCGTCCCCCTGGAGGGGGCCACAGGGAGGCCACTACTGCTGCTGGAGGCTGTTGCTGTCACTGCCCCGGGGATGCCACAAGAGGCCACCACCGCTGCTGCTACTGCTGCTGTAAGCTGCTACTGCTGAGGACTGAGCTCATGTCATCTACCAATGGCTCCCAGCATCTTTCCCAATTACCTAGTGTGGACCTGCGTAGGAGGGGTCTAGTGACCCAACCAGTCTATGCAATGGGTTTGAAGTGTCTGAGCCCTAGCACTGACAATACTAATGGAAAACTTAGTATAACTAAAGAAATGAAACATTTTGGCTTTAGTTATGAAATTCCTAGGCATTCAATTAGCGTAGCTATTGCCTCAACCTGACATCTGGTGTAGTTGTGTAGCTTTACATTAACGTATTTACTTCACATACTTATTTTGTGGTGAGATTTCATTTGTCTTTTAATTTAGTTCATTGTGTCTTTTGCTTATATAAGTTTTGTATTTTCCATATAGACTTTAAATGGAAGGCAATAAGTTTATTATTTTTCCGTGGTGGATAACTGTGCTCCAAACATGACTTGCTGGAAGAGGATGTGATGAAGTGTGGGGTTTCGAATCAAAGATGTAAAAGGAAAGAAGGACATCATCATTCTTAAGCAAAAATATTGTGACACCCAAGGTGGATTACTGTAGTTTATTTTTGATTTTCCTGTCTTCAAAACTGGCTTAAAACAGAAATCCCACCGTGTTCTCCCAGTTTCCTCCTTCCACAAAAAAGCTGCTGCATGGTTTCCAGTGAGCCTGGAGACCACAAAAAGCTATCCAACTGCACTCTACATTAGTCTTTATCTTCAGTCTCTTCCAAGTGTTTTCAATTCCAATGGAAACAGATAACTGTGATGCACAAGCTTTCCTTTGTTTTATTTTCTTAGCCTTGTTCCTACATGTGGGCAATATGGATTCTTTCAGATCTGCAAGTTTTCTCTTTTATTTCAAAATATTTTATTATTTCAATTTCCTCCTAAAAACTTAAGGCTATTCTTTTTATTCACTACTTAAGATTCTTATAACCAGGATGTTTACACAGATTTGAGATCATGTATTCAATATGCTTATAATGAAATAAACGTGAACACAGAAGAACAGTGCACACACTCTTAGGGAAGTGCACGTGGATGCACTGGGATAAGAGTAAAAAGATGGAACGGGTGAGTGTTGTGTACTTTGCCATAGGTCACTTCATTCAGTCAGGAAGTATTTTCACTGTTTGAAAAATGATCCTAAGAGACTTGGGACCATGCTTGATACTTAATAAATGCTCAGTACTTATTAGCTATTGTTATTATATGTAGTTTAGGATTTGGTTTTTTAGCAATTTGCAGCATGGGTATAAGAAACCATTCTCTTTATTTTGCTTATTCTTTCACTGACAAGTCATTTGTGTTTTTTACTGCACCCCTACTGAAATCTCCTGCTTCTTCTCATCCTCCCTACTGCTACTGAGCTTCTCCCCTTCTAAAAGGCTTATAAAATTCAGTATTAACAGGATGACTGCATTCTTCCAGGTTTTTCAGGGACCATGTGAATAACAACTACTCACATTTATGTTGTGCTTTACAGTTTACAAAGGGATTACATCTATTTGACTTAGTGCAATCTTGTGAATTAAAAATAGTATTAAGATTTTCCCCATTTTATAGATGGTGTATTACTTTGCTATGACTGCCTTAAAGTACTACAGACTGGGTGGTTTCAACAATAGAAATTTATTTTCTCAAAGTTCCAGAGGTTACAAGTCTGAGAGATCAAGATGTTAGCAGGGTTGGTTTCTTCTGTGGTCTCTCTCCTTGGTTTGTAGATGGCGATCTTCTCCTTGTGTCTTCACATGGTCTTCCTGTTGTACTGTCTATATGTATGTTCTAACCTCTTCTTATAAGAACATCAGTTACACTGGATTAGGGCCCCCAATAACCATATTTTAACTTACCTCTTTGAAGACCTATCTCCAAATATAGTCACATTTTGAGGTACTGAGAGTTAGGACTTCAACAAACAAATGAATTGGGAGGGGGGGAACGCAATTCAGCCCGTACCAGCTGGGAGAACTAAGACTCTGTGAGGTCAAGTCTCTTGCTCAAGGTCAGAGCAAAGTCAGGGCTTGCACTTTTCTATACTTGACACTTAAGCAACAAGGTAACCTCCAATATTTACTTTATAATAAAATGGAAATTTTTCCAGGTCAGTGAAAACACTTCTACATAATTCTTAATGTTACCTAGTTTTTCATTGTGTGAACATAACAATTTATTTAAACAATCCTGTATTGATCTAGGCTGTTTCTTGTACTAATTAAAAAATAATTCTACAGCGAGCATCCTTGTAACTAAATCTTTGCAGCTAATCTTTATCATTTTGTGAAGATGAATTCTTAAAAGTGGGATTGCTGAATCACATATTATGCAGGTTTTAAAGACGTTTGTACCTATGGGTTTTTTAAGAGTAAGCATTGTACATCCTGTGATAATCATGCTTAAACGCTGTCTTTTTTATAGCAGTGTTTTATACCCATGAATCTACACATCCATACACATGCACAAATATATCTCAGATACTTTGGAGAGTGCTAAATTAATCAGGGGAGGACTAGAGAAATTACTGTAAATTCTGGAAGCGGCAAACTCTTTAATTTCACAAATGTATCTCCAATTCCAACACAATGCTTAGACTAAGAGACCCTCAATGAATATTTGATGAATATTTCAACGATGATCTGAGTATATAGTGCCTCACATTTGCCTAAAATAATCTGTTTCTCTTTTCTGTCCCAGGGAAAGGTGGTAAAGGTGTTGAGATAGAAGGTGCTTAGTTTCCATTGGTTCAGGTTGTAAGACACACTTCTGGGTTTCAAGCCACTCATCTAGGCCCTCCCCTAGAAGAGAGTTACTGTTGCTTATTGCACCTATTTTTGTCACCACCATGGGAAAGTTGAGACCTCAGGGAGCAGGCTTATGCAAACCCAGTGGCTAGACATACTCAGTAGAAGTAGAAAGTATAACCCTAGTAGCTGAGCATGCTCAATAAAGTGGAATGTATCTTTCGAATGACCTTCCACTAGAGGTGCTAAAGAGCACAGAATATTCTTGAATATGTTCAGGGCAT